TCAAAATTTCAAAAATATGTGAAATATTGTTTTATTGTTGTTTACGATAGTGACTTGATTAATTTTTGATTTGATAATTACTATTTATTATCAACGTGATGCACTGACTTAACTGAAAATGACCATAAATTTAATTCAGTAATTAATAAAATGAGATAATGAGATCGAAAATGGGAAGGTACTTCAGTGAATAAATTTCTCAGTACATGCGTTTTTATTGTGTTATTAATAATTATTACCGATACGATATAAGTAAGTTGTTTATAAACATTTTTTTTTTTTTTTTTTGATAATTTTAGTAAAACAAATTACTATTTAGTAAAATATAATAAATGTGTTTAAAAATTGACATGTATTATTGTTTTATATACTCTTATAATTTTTATAAATGTATGATGTATAATTTTTGTGTGTGTCTTGATTATTGATTAGTAAGCAATATTTGGTGATTTATTTTTGACAAAAAATATAATATCTTGGCGGTAACCTATCATGTATAAAACAGAAAACTATATTTTTAATTTATTTTTTACGTTAAAATCTCATATATTTGTATAACTATTCATCTGCGTATGTTATGTTTTTATATAATATTATGTACATCATGCGTTCCGTCCTTAATACAGTAAATATCACCAACAGTAATTACACTAAATGGTGAAACCGACAGCTAAAGTAGGTGTGTTTCACGTGGTGAGCGATGGAATTTAATTAAAAAAAAAAAAAAATCTAAGTCAAGGATAACCTTTAAGAAATCTATAAAATCGATCGTCGTTTAGGCGGCGCTCTACAGACGACAGATATTATTTTAATACGATAACTTTAATAATAATATAATTTTATCATTAGATAAGTAGGTATCCAAAAATAATCCACACCATGAACCAATTTGAAATTTATTCGTCGCATCCGAATATTATCTTTATTTCGAAATCCTATTAACGACAGTAGTGCTAATAAAAACACTCATAACTCGTCGAGAAAACAGTCCGACTTAAATTATCGATTTAGAAAAAAAAAATACTGTAATTTATTGGTGAAAAAAAAAAAAGACAGAAAAACAATCTCATTGGATGTAGATTGTAGCTAATATTTTTTTTAACGATCATCCACCTCTTCGACGGCGTGCGGATCGGTCTCATAAATTAAGAACGCTCCACAGACATCAAGGACGGAGTAACGAAAATTACCTGTTGTTATGTTTTTGCACAAGTATATATGCATGTGTATAGTAACGAGAAGATTTAAATTTCATCATACCGACAGAATAAAACCCATCGCTCGTTGGACCATAATCTTGGGGTAATAATTTCACAACCATTCGTCGGACAGTTAACACTACTTCCTCCCTGTACATGCGTATCCCCTCACTCTCTCTCTCTCTCACGCTCTATTTCTATATATTTATATATACTTTCAGAGCCTACCTATCACTTAGTACACTGGACTCCCCGTACGCCATGGTAGTTTCGATGATACCCCGCTCGATTTTATTCGATTATACGATGGTTTTAATTGAATTTCCCGGTGATAAATTTATAATACACACGGGGAATGGAGGATAACGGTGGCTACCCACGCACACTTATCCGCACACCCAACACCGAACCGACCGATGTGGTTTCGTCGTCTACTCGCAAATATACGGTACCGATAAATACATATATATATATATATATATATATATATTTAACCATTGAAAAACTACAACACCACCGTTGAAGGTATAAAGTCGAAATTGTAGGTTAAGGATTATCAACGGAAGAGAGAAAGAATCGAATCGAATATTGAACATATAAAAAGTAATTATTTTAAAACTATACAATCATTTTTACATTTATAATTTTTTAAATCAGTGCAGATTTTAAATTTCTCACGATTTTAAACAATAAATAAATCATAATTTCCTAATTCAAAATATATTTTTCTGAGAATTTCAACGTATAAGATCGAATTTCGTTCCAACAGTCTCATTCAGTTCGTCAAAAATTAAAATTCTAGTGATTTATACCATATTATGAATAATTAATAAATTTAATAACTAATTAACACGTTTGATGTAATTTATTGTTTTCACCAACTATCTTTAGAAAAAAATCATACATTTTTCAACCAGAAGAACGGATTTGATAATCAACTTTCTATACCATATACAATATAGCATTTTTACGTTCGTATAATATTTAATAACTGAAAAATATAAAATTAAAATAAATAATATTTTTAAAACTGTGATCGTAGTTTATTCTTTGCCGTTTTTAAATTAAAAAAATTAAAATATTAAAATCCTTAATAATTAATTTTTAGTTTTTTTAAAATGATTGACGCATCCAATGATGAATAAGTTTACATGATATTTGTTTTAAATATTTAAATTAACCTATATCATAATTTATTCTCCCCTAACCAGTCAAATCAAAATCACCGATATTGTGGTAATTTTTTTTTATAAAACTCAAGGGAGAAACATCCATAGTTAATATTAAACGATAGAAAACCCGTGAAGAAAAATAATTTGATAATATAATATAGATAGTTGGTAGCGACGCTGTCGGTTTCTTTCGTGAAACGTTTCTTTTCAAACTTCTCTCGTCGATCGGACGGGGCTCACGTGGTAATGGATAATTAGATATCAAGCCGATGAGATTAAATAAAAATGAGTAAACAAATTAAACGAAAATGATGGGAAAAAAGCGAAACATTGCAAGTACATGATACACAAAAGGAGTGGAAAATAGGAACGAATAACAATAATGATAAAAAAACTCACCAAACTGTTTACCCTTGAGAGTCTTTTCGAAACAAACGCACAACCTACCTGCCAACATAATTTACCTGTGCGTCGGCTGCTTACTATTTGGGTATCCAAAAAAAAGTAAATAATTTAACAGGTAGTAAATTCAAAAGCTGTAGCAGAATGTGAATCAGAAATACTATAATATAATATCAATCGTTGATATTAAATATGTTTTAAAAGTCGATAATTACTGTTGTAGACCATAGAAATATAAAAATATTTATTTACATGTATTTTTAAAAACAAAATATAAAATTTTAAAAAAAAAATGATATTGAATCCTTAGATATTATTTAAATTATATATTTTATATAGTAACCTACATTATACATTTTAATGACTACTTGTTGTTTAAATGTAATTATTACAATTACTATTTAATACAATAATTATTATTATATTCAAATTTTGATAACTAAAAAAATACATTTTAAATGTTATTCTACACTTGCTTCTATAACTCTATAAGTAACTACTAATTATGTATTTAATTATTACATTTTTATTAAAATTCAACATAGTTTAAGCTTCGCATAATTTTTATGAATAATTTATCATACTTATTACGATTAATTGTGTGTGTTCTAACTTGAAATTACAACAATATAAAATGATATTTATGATTAATACTCTTCTGATTACTATACTAAAGCAACGGTATTTTACCATTCTTTAAAAATATTTCCAACTGTATTATTACAATTTAATTAATTAGGTATGGTATTGGTAGAGCTAGACAAGTATATGTAAGCACGTAACTAGTTTAAAAAAAGCATGATACGTTGAGATTCGAATAGCCTTTTCTGAATCATTTTTTATTACAGAGCAATCTATTTTAATTTGCATTTTAGAACGCAAGTAGTATGCACCATACGTAGTATACCTATATTATAAGTACATGTGCGCATATTACGTAGGTATTCCGGCACGATCGAGTGGTTACGGTCGTCTCCCGCATAGTTAGTATTATATTGTTTAGTCGCCCTAAAAGTGGGTACGTTTAACATTCGCAGGACACAGTCGTGCTTTCGCCGCTGTCCGGTAATTAACAAACCTTGCAATGGTCAACACTTTGCATAAACCTCTCACAGTTAATTAACGGTCACCGCTGTGTATTATCATAATATCATATCGAAATTCGGCTCGCAGTGCTTGCAACTTATAAACAGATTAAAATATATAAGTAAGTTTTGGTTCCAGACATTCCACAAACATTTGTTCAACTGAATGTTTATAAACAAAAATCAGTCGTGTTTTCATTATTGTTGTAATCATTGATATAATTAGATATATTATGGTTTTACGGACACGATAGAGTATATTTATATATTTACAATCATCTTGAACTTGATAAAATAATGACAATAATAATGGGTAGTAATAATAATAATGCATAAATTTAATATACCGGATAAACCACAAAGATTTACCATGTTTTAATTTAAAATCGTCAAATATTTTTGATATATTTTGTATGTACATATTTCGTAAATTCATTAAAATCTGTGTGTTTTTTTATTATATATATATGTTACTTTGACATAAATTAAACAATTACATAAGATTTTATATTACGAACTGGAAATGAAGATAATAACATAACATTTTTTTTATATACATAATAATAACAATATAATACTTGATTATAATATATAAATGTAATAATGCTATAATATAAGTCGTATGCTAAAATTATAATAGTATATTATAACGATTAAGGACACTCAATAGATTTTAAAAATTAGAATATAATTAATAATTATTATACGTTTTTATATCTTTATTGTGGTTTAGTTTCTACTCATTAATTTAAATAAACTACAAAAAAGAATATTTTTAACAACATTTTCAGTAAAAAATAATGTAATGATACTAGTTAATAAATAATAACGATTTAACACTTTTCGTGAAAAAATAAATGATAATCTAGATGTTCTTAATATTAACTTTACCTTTTGACCTGTAACGAAAATAATAATTTAAAAAAAAAAGCAAAATATAATTTCTATAGTTATAATTTGTAGACTTCAAATATTTAACTTTTCGTAGAAAGCATAATATTGGCTTACGCGATGTTTAATAAAGACATAATGAGTAATATTTTCGTAGTAAAAAATATATTTCAGTTTAAAATTAATTCTAAAAACATAAAAATAATAATGTTTGATATATAGCTAACAAAATTTTGAAGATGTTACTAAAATTTACTTAGCGTCAAAGTTCATAAATTACGTTTAGATTTTTAGAAAAAATTTTATTTTTGAGGATATGTAAGCTGATATGTGATGAAAATACATTTGTCCTAAACATTCAATCAAATAAACACGTAACTGAAATACATTATTATTCTTTACATGTCAAAATATTATAATAGCATCAATGAAAAAAAAAACATTACTTATCTACAAATATGTCAATTAATGTTCGCTCGAAACCACTTTAACGACCAACGGCGTGAAACACATTAACTCGTGAAGATTTCCTGATAATTAAATACACAGTATTAACAATTTTTTGGCTTTAACGGTTTCCATATGATGATACATCTATATTATAACAATATTTATAATGGTATTATATAATTAAAATATTTCAATAGTATTCGATGGACAATTTATGACTATAATAGGTGGCGATGATTTTGGACGGTCCCCCACATGCAAAAGAATTACACTGCTAAATCGTGCAAAAACAAACCAGTCAATACGTGGACCACCGCTGCAACCAAGACCGCGGTCATGGTAACGCCGGTATTGGTCCTAGGAGGGGCAGCTACTGACGTTTGCAAGCACTTATCAATAACCGTAGGATCTACAACAGCGATAGGCTGTCCGTTAAGCTCCAACGGCGAAATGCAATAATTCTTGCCGATAAAAAGATCTTGGGATGCGTTGCCGAACGGACGGCTGTCTATAAACCGGAATAGATGACAGTCGCACGGAAAGTGATTACCAACCACAGTAAACCCTTCGGAAACAGCGGTAGCAAGGCTTACGAACGTGCCTCGTCGTGGGCTGTCTAGCACATGATTGCCATTAAACCGGAAGTGCCGGATGCGATTGTCCCGTGTCACGGATAGGCTCTGCATTGCATCGATCTTATTGTTCAGCAGGTTAAGACTACCAACGTGCACTAGACCCGCGAAAGCGTCCGCCCGGATTACTCCCAAGTCCGAGTCTTGGATGGACAGCACATGCACGTGGCTAAGACCGCGGAACGTGTACGATTTCAGTGACGTCAAGTCCATGAATGATAGTTTCAACAGACCTACCGAGTCCAGCCCATTGAACGAATCGGGCTGCAGCTGCTGGATGCCTGACGGCATGATAAGATGTTCAACGTTTGTCAGACCGGAAAATGCATTAGCCGATACCTGCATACAAGGAACAAACAAGCGGTGCATACGTGAAATTGTATTTTATGGTAATTTATTGGAATTGTGTTAAATTTTTAAATTTATTTTATCTTATAGGCACCTAATTTGCTTGGTTATTGAAATTCAATAAAAAAAAAAAAAAAAAATAGCAAAATAATATAATAAATTACGAAATACCGAAAAATAGACATGTAAACCTATATTTTACATGTACAACACGACGCTCTTACATAAATGCGAAACCTAACACAAAAAAACAATTGCATAATAATAAAACAAAGTAACTTAATAATTATAATGCAACGTTTTCTTTAGGATATACGAGTAACATAGAATGCTTATTTTTTTAGTATTGGATCACGTTATAAAGTATTTACAATAGTTTTATATAATAGGTAAGATTTTTTTAAATTTAAATACATTTAATATAATATAATAAGTAAGATTATCTGTTCGTTTAGTGTTTACTACTAATCTGCTAAATTTAAATCTCTTACTTATTCAGTCCAAAATAAAATCATAATTTATCCATAAGTGGATAAATCAAACTTCGTCAATCTACGATTTAGTAAATATTTTTATCTTAGTCTTTGTCTGCAGTCTAAAATCAAAAGGTCAGGAGGCCAGTTAAATTCTCACCATGTGTAACGGATTATTGTTGAGCAGTATGAGCCTGATGTTGGCGGTTCCAGCAAACGCAAACTCGTGTATGACTCTTATCTGATTGTACCCCAATAGAATGGCCGTTACGTTCTGGAGACCGGCGAGCGAGAACTTATCGAGCGATTCGAGTGGCGTGTGCTGGATGGATAATTCCCGGAGCCGAGGGAGCCCACGAAATGCAAACCGATCTATCCGGTGTATGTCATTGGTGTCCAACGTTAGCTTTCGTAGGTGCCGGAGACCGCTAAAAGTATCGGTAGGCAAATACGTTAAGTTATTTTTGGTCATCGACAAATGTTCGACGGTTTTTGGTAAGTCGCGAAGTGGCACAAACGTCAGGTGTCCGGAGTTGCAGAGGATCTAAAACGGAAAAGAACGTGTATTAATAACAAAATGTCATTGACAAATTATTTTTTAATTATCACGAAAAGTTATAGTTCTTTGCAAATTTAAACTAAATTTACAACATTTGTATTTTTTTTTTTGAATATATGAGTACCCTTAACACTAATCCATTACTCCTACAGCTAAAAAATTTGCGTAATTGTAACTATGATAAAATCTAGGCTAATTATTTTTTGCTTGAACTCTGCAAAACTGTAATGTTTATGCTATTATGATACCCAATCAAAACTTTTTTTTTTATATATTGTATATCGTGCCTAAGGCGTAATAAAAATATACACTGCAAGAAATTAATATATGAAAAAAGTGTGAGGAAAGAAACTATACCTAGTTATCGCATATCCTTCCTAATCACAACTATATAATAAATCATTATTATTGTCAGTGCTCGATTTATATTTTGTTTATTTATTTTATTAATTAACATCAATCAACTTTTAAAATGATTGTAAGTATAATAACATAATAAAATTATTTTACTATAAAAATAGCAAAGAAAATTTATAAAATAAACATATTAGAATTATATAACAGTGATAATTGTGAAGATAAAGATTAATAAAATAAAATAAAGAGTCTAAGCACGAATTTATCATCAAGTATGCGAATCATTTACGCCCGTCATTCTAGGTAGAGGAGAGTTTATGGAAAAAATTTGACCAGCTTGTCGATGTACAAAAAGTGCTCTGAAATCGAGTATTGTTAAGAAAGCGGATGCTGAATCTCTCTTTAACAAGTAACAAGTAAGGAGACGTTTATTTGCCCATTTAATAAACTTTTATTAAATTATTTAACAACGGTTTAATATCTAGATCATAATGATTCGAGGCTAAAAACTAAATTTATAAACTGATAATCATGGTCTAAATAAACTGTGTAGAAACGGTACTCAGCATAACCATTTTAATATTATTATCCACGCTGCCATTCTAATTTAACTAATTAGTTTTAATATTTATAAATATTCTATCTATGAATAATTATAATATGACGTCGATATTTTATTTCTATTACTTAATCGACAATGTGACTCTAATAGTTCCAAATTATTTTTTTTTTTTGATAAATTAATAAGTACAATAAATATTTGTGTGTAAAGTAGTAACTCCGATACCAGTTACTTAATTAACAGTAGCCCTAGTGTCGTAACTTAAAAGTTTAACCCGGAGCAAAAATTTCAAAGCATCTCTCCTTCACCTAGGGAAATATCCAAAAGATTTTAGGAATGTTAACCCATTTTCTGAAATTATTTTGTACACTATTTTAATATTATTTAATACACGTTTTGTGGTTTACATCGTTTCAAAAAGACTAGTAACTAGTATACAACATAATATAATAGTACATAGTATAAACATAAATTATTTTTAGTGAAACTGTCACAGAATTTAAGATTTGAAAATACGTGTCCCCCTTTACTATACTTGCAAAATACGCATTAACATAGAGTTTTCATTAAAAATTTTGAATTTTCAGTAAGTAATCATAAGTTCCCCATACACTCAGTGATTAAATTTATAATATATTATTCACACCCATTGCCACAGGACAATACAGTTAAAACTGAATTTTACTAATTTTTTAATCATTAAAATAAATCTAAAACGACGAATTATTCAAATAAAACCATAAATTTAACCTCCCTATCATCTGAGATCGGTTTATTATCGCACTCTCTGATCCCTCTTAGTTACACCACTAAGTGGCTCTAATATATATAATCTACCTCTTCAAGTCTAATAGTCAATTTATGATGATATAATTATAGTTTTATGTGAGTAGTCAAACAATTCATAATTATATTTAATTTCATAAGAGTGTAAATTGTATGTTTAGATTGTATTTGTTGTGTCATGAATAATTTATTTAGATTTTAAGCAACCGCTGTTTCTATTCGGAAGATTGCATATCGATTTTTGTTTATGATTACTTATCTATTTATATTGCTCGTCACATTATGTAATACATCTTATTATTTATGTAATTATATTGTAACAATGATCAGAAAATTCATACTATTATTATTGTTATTATTGACGATAAAAATGCATGATTTCATTATTATAACAAATCTTAGTAAATCTAATTATATTTATTTGTGAATCATTTATTACTATATTGTTACACAGTAACATACATAACAACAAATACTATTGTTCCTATTTTTAATAGACTCTAATAATATTCATAAAAATCTGCATTTATAGGTAAACAAATACTCGTCATATAACATTCATACTCAATTTATCCAAATAGCTCATCAATATTCTAAAATGTTTTCCTGGCAATCCCTACCATCACTTCAACTGCATATTGAGCTACTTACACACACAAATATAAAAGGTATTACTGTCACAATGTCCCATTCATTATTTACTTTTTATAGTATATTATCCGATAGTCGTACATATGTACAAACCCATCATCTAACTATAAAGACTAATTAAGATCTATATAAAGATATAAACCATAGAATCAAGCTACGAAGTTAGTGAGTTTACTTATCACAAATCATACCACTGCCGTCCAGAGATGGTGGTTTTGAAAGTATTATATTAAAAACTGTAAGACAAATACAAATCTACTCATTCACCTCACGCAACCATCCCTTAGCTATCTCCTATGATTTCTTCTACTGATGACTTATGAATTTCAATTACGATTTAAGAATTATAACAATTCTAGATATCATCAATAGCTGCCTTATTGAATTAAAAATATATATGATGTAATCAATAAATGTTTTTAAACAACTAAAACTAAAATAATAATAAATAAAAAAGGTATACTATTTTGACCAATTTAAAAGAAGGTTGTATACACGCATAAAACAATACTATGCAGCAGAATTTTAAACGTGTATATGTAGATATCACACGGTCAATTTTACTATATCTGTTGTACTATTAGCCTAGGTCGCTAATTTTTCTCCATTTCGAAATAATATCATAGTGGTATAACTGTATAAGGTATAACAAATCACCTGATATAGGTAATATATACATCTGTTATGTTTTCAATCCATTTTATCTTATTTATAATCACTTTATAAGTTCAATGCAGCGAAGTGAAAGACTTGCGAGCTTTGTTCATCTTCAGAATTTGCAGCTCAAATAATTTGTGGCCTAGCGCACACACAATAAAACCTCGATAAGACGTATTAATATTCAAATGTTGATGACTTCAACGCGATTACATGGCGTATTATATTATAATATCATAACCACGTATTACATTAGTTAATTGAGATTTGAAAATATACAATTTTTTTGCCATATACGAGTATTTTGTTCATAAATATTAAATTTTGAATTCTTGTTTTATGACTTGTTATTCTTATGTTCATATACATTAGGTATAAGTATTAAACAATAATTTCATTTCATTAATATTGTACATTTATACTTTTCTGTTCGTGAATTTTGATTAGTAGAAAGTTTATCTTTAAAAATAAATGAAATACTTTTGATGTTATTTTTTTTCTATACATAGCCAATATTAATGTATTTTATTATTTAAATTAATTCATAATATACAATTTGAATATTCATTTTTACAATTTTAGTTTTTTCGTAGCAAACTTATATTATGCCAAAATATAATTCTCGCTAGTATATTGTAATCTATATTGATTTGTTAATTACTCACTATCATGGTATTAAAATAATTATTTATTTTTGTAGTAAATTATCTCTAAATCAAAATTTTCAGAACGAGAGCGAATAATATCACATGATTTATACACGTACCGGTCACCAACTATTCACTGCAACACTGCGGGTCAATACGCACCAACCGTTATTATGACTGTAACTGTAATGTATAGTGTTGATGTAAGCCGCTCAATCAGCAATTGCAGTGATTGAGATTTACGGGCAAATAAATAATGAGCTCATAGTAAATATGTGGGTGAATTGTGTTTGTTTATTTAGGACAGGATAGGTGTTGCAGTATATTCTTTTAATACGTTAAAAATGGAAACAACAGTGTGCTTTGGTATTACGAAAATCTCTGTTGCCCTATAATAACAATGCAGTAATAAATAGTAATGAAATGTATTACAAAATCGTATCACAAAATCGACACGTGGTCTTTTGACAGCAGTTACTCACAATCTAAATAAATTCTTCACATAACACAAACACAACATGGTAAATATAATAATTATACATTGTTCAACCACTCAAGTTAAACTAAAGGTATAATAATAAACTATTTGGATCGTAACAGTAGATGAATTCATCGAGCTACTATTAATTAAGTAATAGGTATAGAGAAATTGAAGCTGTACAAATATTTATTGTATTTATTAATTAATAAATTGCATAAATTATAACGGAACTAATAGAACCACATTTTAGATCAAATGATGGGGATAGATTACAATATTGAATTTATTTTACTCACATATTGAAATATTGACTTATATTAAAATTAATTACAATAATTGTGTGTGAGCGTATGTTTATTGTGCACTAGTTTTTCGAATGAATTAATATAGACCACTGTAATTCCATTTTCTACTCACTTATATCGGAGCAATAGTGGTGGTGTACTGTTGTGGTAAATATTAGATAATATCATAATACAAATTGGTAGCGTATAATATATTTGATACATTTATACCACATATTAAAATTTAAAAGTGTTACTGGAATTCACTCACACATTAATAAAACTTATTTACGATTTGTTCAATAATCTAAAACTAAAAACTAATTAAGTGTGGCTTAATTAACTAACTCAATTATTTTGCTCGATCTGTTTATACTCTGTAATCTGATTCAATACAAATGTTTTAAATTTTATCAAATAGTAAGCAACATTTTTCATTAAAAATTTTGATAAATATTCGGAAATAATTTTAAAATAATGTCTTTTATTTATATTTTTGGAAATTAGAAAACAAAGTATATACATTTTTAAAATATTTGGGCTACCAAAAGATGAACTCGTGGTTATTTAAATTTTCTATTAATCAATATGTGATATTATATCTATAATATTATTTGATTTAATGGACGTATATATTGTACCATAATAACTACCGATAATCTATATGAACAATAAATTAAATCCAAGAAACAAATATGATGTTTTGTCGTGTATTGGGTACTACAAAATGGAAAGTTGGTACAACAAAACGTGAAGAATACCTTAAACATTTATGACTTTGTACCTTCTCTCAAAGAAGTATTACTTACAAAACAATATCTTTGCAAAACCAAAACAATATATCTGATCAGTCTTAAAATAATTATTAGTTTACATATTTTTGGTGTTGATAAAAATTAAAATAAATGTTTTTTCTGTGATTTAATTACTAAATTAAATATTTAACTTGTATATAATATGATTATAAGATGAACTTTATTTTAATTTCCAACACTCGTTTCTCGATTAATTTGTTATTTGAAAAAAAATATTAAACACCATATCTATTAACGACCTGTATTTATAATACAATACTATATATATATATTGTCCGAACTATTTATTTTCGTATCATCGACCGATCATATTTTATAGGTATGTACAACAATCGACGAGATAACTTTTTTCGTAAATAAAATATAATCGAATATAGGATTTCTAGAAATGTAAGGGACCTTTATTTATTTCAACGTAAAAAAAAACCACCAATACCACTATAGAAAAACCTTTGTGAATTAAAAAAAAAAAAACGGTAAACATATTGCTTCGCCCGACATATTCCACGTAAAGCAGCTGCTGTAATTGATTCGGTAAGCATGAGGACGTGTAATATAATAGTGCAATATTTATGTAAAACGGGAGTGGCGCGAAGTATACAATAGTGAATTAAAATATATCAGCGGTGTCCAGTTCAGTAGTTGGAATAAATCCAAATTTTAAACGGCAGATTATACAATAATAATAGTGTACAATATTATGGTATAACATATAGCTTTAGATTCCCCACAACTGACAAGTCCCCGTATAATAATGTATTATATTATATTGTTGTTATTTACTTGTGTGTGCGATAAGCAGATGCAGTCCGAAGGGCATGCCCACGATCGCACCGAGTTTGTGGATATCATTAAAATCAGCGTTATTAAAGCACGCATGCCGTTCATTTGTCTGAAACACAAAAAAGTTTTTGATGATGAAAAAAAAAGTTTACAAAAAATACGATTCAAATTCATTCGCGGCATGGTGACATTCTATTCCCGCAAGACGCGTACGCCCGCAGAGCACCGATGTAACTCGTTCGCACCGGAAACAGTGATATTGTGTGTGTATTTTCTCTTTATTTTTGAAACGTTAAGTTTTTAGGTTATTGCGGCCAAGCGAAAAGGCTTTCGGACGACTTGTTAAATATGTATATAGGGTCGTGAAGTATAAATATAATGTAGTGGTAGAAAGAGTTTGTGTAGTTAACACGGCGTTGACAAAATAAAATATAAAAATAAAAAGAGCGTATTCGGTCCAATGCCGACAATCCCGAAGCATCGCGGTTTGACAATATAAAATGCAAAACTTTTCCATTTCTCGCGCATATACACTACACACCATGAACATACCGAGTTGACAGGCCGCATATGAATAAAAATGCATAGTATATGCGTATATTTTACCTATTGCTTATACAGATATTGCACGAGTGTGTACAGTACCGCGAGAGTTACCTGTAACCACAACGCCATATCGTACAGATAAATTTTGCCGAAAATACTCTTCTATATTTCTATTATTTGACTATACATTAGACTTAATTCTGCAAGTTTTTGGATTTTTATGAAATTAAGTCGTATTGTGTGGCAATTTAAATCTTTTCCAAAATATTTGAGAACTTCCGAGTTTGAACTACGAATTTTTAATCGGTTAATATTTTTAAAAATGTTGATTTCTCAAAATTGATCAAATAGTTATTAGTTGCTGAACTATTATACTTTATAAAATAAGGATAACAGTAAATAATAATAGGTTAAGGGTGCCAAGAAACAATGATTACACTTTATATTTTATATTTTTATGTGTATCCTGTATAAACTATAAATCATTTAATCAAAGGATACTCCTTCAGTTACATAAAAAAATCTTAAGTAGGTATTTAAAATTATTATATTTTAGATATAATATATACTAAAAAATTCCAAAAACAAAAACAAAAAATTTTATTGATTCTTAATAAGTAATGTAAAATACTGTTATTACGAGTGTCGCCAATGGGTATCTATTCCCTTAATCATGTTCTTCGTTTTAATTTTCACAGCACATTTGCCAATATTAATATACCTATTTTTGTAAAGACTGTACATTTTTTCTTTCTTTAAATATAAAATAACTATTATCTTGCTTAGTAAATCACCCGATACATATATCAAAATACATAATATTACGCACAACAAACGCATTATACGCAGGTACTCGACTTGCCCTACACTCCAACTCGACGTTACGGAATGGTCGGGAGCTATTTGCAAGCTCGAGAGTATATTATGAAAAGATCCGAAACACACTTTAACACACATTTGCAGACAATAGTCCATCGAAAACAATAAATAATGTCATCATACTCGGAAGTACGCGTTACTCCATCCATACGGCTCCGTTTCAATATCATCCCCTTCGGCGTTTTTCTAGACGATCATTATAATATACGCATACGCGTGCATTCCATTATAATATGAAAATATATTTATATACATACGGGGTGGTTCTTTTCACTGCAAATCTGTAGACGATTTTTGAATAATGATATTTTCAAAACATTTTTATTCTTTTAAACGAATGACATTTTACATAATTTAAACTATATTATTTTACGATAATACAATTGTAAATAACATTTTCGTAAAATATTTCCCAATTCGCAACAAAATAACTAATTTATATAATATTATAAACGCACTTAAATCGCGGTATGCGAGGACAGAATACACACTGCGTACTCTGATAACACGAGTAAGGAATACTCATCTGATCTACAGATACTCAAAATCCACTCTTTATAAAACTTGTAAGATAAAAGCCGCTTGTGATCTATTGTACATATTATTATGAATGTATTAAAATACAAGTATGTAGACGTTGAAAATATGTTTTTTTCCTTTTATTATAGTTAATAGTATTACATAAAGTCATTTTAACGATTTTAAATCTCTGACTACTACAGCAAAAACTATTTAGTACTTTATTAACCATGAAATATGAATAACCCGTTTGTAAAATTTCAAACAATAAACAATTCACACTTCAATTGAGCATAGCTAAATTATATTTATGTAGTACTATAAACTTGACTGACTATTTTTACATGAAAGATTTGATAAAAAATATATAAAAACATTTAACTTTTAAAAATATTCAATTATAGAAATGTCTACATCGACTATGATAATTTCAATTCATTGGTCCTGAAATATATAGTCTCTCTTCTTTTTTTTAGTTTTTAAGCTTTTGATTTAAATGTTTTTAAAAACAAACACAAAAGTAATACCTTTGTATGTTCCGTATTTACTAAGTATAATTAAAAATCGCAGTAAATGTAAAAGTTTAAGTAGGTATCTCACCAAAAAGTTCAGTTCTCGTGATATTGTAATCATTATAACATCATAACTCGTGTGGCTCATCATAAAAATGATTGATACGTTTCCGCTCAATACAGTCTTTTATTGCCTAATCCATGATCGTGTTATATAATACGGTTCCTTAACTTATAAACGATAAATATGCTATTGTAATATTTGTATCACAGACACATCAAAAGAGACGAATCAAAAAAACCATTTCTCTAATATTTTGTTTCATGTTCGTCTCTTGTAATCTATTTTAATCTTATATTCATATCTATAGTAAACTAACGTATTATCATATTATTTCTCTGATAAATATCTTACCTCGATCGATATATTATATTCGTTGTTCGTTTGCCGTCTTTTGTACCAAATAATAATAATAAATATTAATGAGGTTTAAGTTTAGTCAAAATAATCTCGAATTACTGGGACGTAACATAAATGGGTGGAAAACAATAATGTTATAGAGCGATTATGGTTCACGTAACGCTCCTGCTGAATTATTAAAATACAAGAAGGGTGGATAGGTGGTAGCCAGTAGGTAATCATATTTGCGAGATCTTTTATTACAGTAACAGCGTTAAAAAAAAAACCCCTGTCTAGAGTTTGCCAACGTAATAATACACATTTTTTTTTTGCATTCCATTCCCCGACCGGCCGTTTGTTGTCAGCAAAGTTTAATCTTCTACCAGTTCCGGAATTAGCAGAAGCTCCTTTATGTACAAATTTGATTGTTTTATATTCCGTCGTTCTCAAAAACGGCGCGCCACGCAGAAAAAAAGTAGATGGAAAAAGCAAGAGATGGAAATACGTTTTACCTCTATTCCAGAAAAAAAAACAGAAGCAGAAAAACGTTTACAATATTATTAAGGTAATACCCGACTCATTTTATTGTCTTCATTACGAGAACATTTTACTCGTAACCGTACCTACACACTTTACATCCTTCCCACCCGTCAAACAGACCATGTCATATTTGCCGTACCCTGCCCGTATATAGACAACAGTATGTATACTAAATCGAATCGCTAGTCGCTTTCTTTTTATTTTATATAGCGTGGCCATGGGTTTTTGCTGTTTTATAAGTATTTTATATTAAAAACGAACGACAATTTATTTACCCACTATATACTTTCCACGAGTTAATTAAGAGAAAAATTGAAACATAAGTCCAAATGTACTCACATTGTATGTATTTATATAAGTGGCTCTTAAGATCAACGAAGCGTGTTATATTATTGCATCGAAATTGACATGAATTCTGAATAGGTCATACATACGGTCAGATGTTTTTTCAACATATATACCGGCAACTCGTTTAAACAATTTATACTGAAAATCTTAATTAATTAATATAATTATAAGTATCACACAAGTATTTTTATAAGCAGTCTGTTTAACGATGAAAATAGCCAATATACTGTGTATTGGTTACCACTTGCAATCCAAATAATTATTTAAACACAACAAGTATTCCTATCATATGGCATTAAAATATATCTAATTGTAATAGAATGCAGTTACCCACATAAACTGGACATGCCTATGCAGTTTGATTTTCAAAATCGGCTCAATTATAAATAGGTTAACGTTGTGTATTAAACATAAGTTCCTAAAATACTTTAACTGTTTATGATTAAATAAAAAGGTATTGTATGTACTCAATGAGAAGAATACCGCGAAAAAAGTAAACAACTTATTTTTCTTTTTTTAATTGTTGATAAATATAATATTGTACACGTAAAGCTAAAATTTCGAGTATTATAGATACAGTCGATTCCGGAAATAGTGGATGCGGAGCTAACGTGGTATTCCGGTAAAGGGGTGGTTAGTGGCGGGGGTGGCGGAAGAACGCGGCTACACACAATGGACTCGCTGCAGTCGCGCATGTAATCAGTGACCGCAACAGACTGATTAGAGGCAAACTGCCGAACAACGGTGGAACACAAAACCGCCAACTTCCCACATTCAACACAAATAGTAATACATGTATGTTATACGAAAGCGGTGAGCTGGAAGGCTGGGAGGCTCCGGTTTCGAAGTCCGTTTTATCAATGTCTCTCTCGTCGGATGACCGGAAACGAGTGGTGGATACGGTCGAACTGCCCCGCTGTACCGGGCAGGGGTACATGTGTTTAAACAAGTATAATACGTACAAAACTTTCGTCGTGTTGTAAATAAAACACAATCATCATTATTGTCCTTCCGTCGGAGATATTAACATCGTTCCGTGAATAGTGCCACCTGAAAATGCATGCCCATACAGCCATCCATCCCGGTATAGGAACAATAAGTAGGGATGGTAACGAGACATGAGTGGTTCCTAATTTGAACTTACCATCACCAAAAATCAAATCCATAATTTTTACTCTTTACGTAGATATTTAATTTTAATACCTATCTTGTTTTCCAATTGAAGTTATAGTTTTTCAAATTCATTATTTTAAAATTTATATTTTGAATCATTAACTACAAGTACCTTATTTCATTTTCAACTGTATTCTGGTGAATTAATTTGGAATTTAAATAAAAACGTTATCAAATTTCAATACTTTTATT